AGGATGATTTACAATCTAATATCGGTCGTTGTAGGTTTTCTACAGCAACGCCACTAACAATTCTGAAAAAAAAACACGATATTGCACAAAGCAATGTTCTGAATGTCAATAAATAAAATAAATCAAACATTTTTGTCATAGTTTAAACTGTGAATAAACGTATCAATATCAATACAAAAATACAAAAGAAAGTGCAATGATTAAACAACAGCATTTTAACCATTATTAACTAAATAGAGACAAAACTCAAAGGGCGCAAGCTATATGCTGACGAAAGACAGGAAACATGACTAAAGGACAAACTATCCAACAAAAGTCTAGAAAAAAATCATAGAAAACCAGACTGAACAACATGAACACATTTTGTATGTCTAAAAGAAAGACCTTAAGAGGAATTGTCCTTTAACAATAGCTATAGCATAAAACTGATTGTTGGATACCGCTTTCGATAACTGCGATCCAGTGTCGGCTGAGGTGTGACTTCTTGCTCCGTGTTGATGGTATAATTGAAAATTACAGATGAACAGTGTATGTCGTTGTTTCTTTGCCTGTGTGTCATGAAATGTCTCTTCCTTCCATATCTGCACCACATTGCATTACCGTGAGAGCTTAGTGAATATGGAGAAGCTCGTTATTCTATATCTCCTACCCATCATCGGGGAGATGGAAGTAAAGTATCGAGCAGGAAAGTGTATGTGTTTCATTATTGACAGACATCCCAAGCACTAAGTGCTGGATTTTATAAGCTAAACTAGTAGCTAAACGGATGGTACTGTAGTTATGTATGGCAGATAACCATCTTAGAACTTTTAAAAAAATCAGATATTCGGAGCTCGATTCGACTTTTTACTTTAAATTGGACATCAAAACATTACTGTAAATTCAGAAATTATTGCGTGCTTTTATTATTGCGATTTTGTCATTTTACACTAAAATGCGATTTAAATTTTTGCGATATTGAGAAAAATCCTGTTTAATTCATATAAAAAATTTCAAAATGCGAGTTTAAATTATTGCGATTATAACCCTGTCGCATTTTTCGCAATAATAAAAACATCGCAATAATTTCTGAATTTACAGTATATTGGTGCAATTTGAGACATTAAAGAATATACCGAAAACCTCAAAATAATAAGCCTTCAATCCCCAATAACGTGCACATCAGGTTAAATATTCGAGGGATGATGAGAGGGAGATATTCTGACAAAGTTAACAACCGATGAAGCTAGTAACCACAACCAGAAAAATTACATCATTCGCTTTTTTATGACACGGGGCTTATAGAATAAAACAAAAAAAAGATGGGATGGCAGTGAAAAAGTCAAATGCTTGTATAAAAAGTAAATAGGAACATTTCTTTGATTGTCTTGCAAAGAGTCATTTCAAAATAATGACACAACTGAAGAATGGATATATGACACTTCAGTATCAAAATGCATGCGAGGGCACACGACTGCAGAGCTTGGTGAATATGGAGACACTGAATTAGCACTTCCTCATAGAGAGTCCCCAATTATTACTAGACAGATAAACTATGTTCAAGATAATAACAAAAAACTGGGACATGATATATTGACTATTTCATCGGAATCTGATTAGAATGCACACCATATGTCAAAGCTCTACTTACTAGGTAAGGTAGGCAAAGGTTTGACACAGGATCTGAATTATAATCAGATTGATATATTAGTATACCATTTAATAGGCTTGACATATGTCTGGTGTTACTTTTTAAGATGTTGATATATTTTTAAATCAGCCAATATCTATTGAGAAAACTACAAAATTGAAAACTTCCTCTTCAAACTTCCTATCGTATGCTTCATTTCACATTTAATTATCCAATTGCTATTGATAAAAAGTGCAATACATTGAATTTCTTTTAATTCTGTTCGATCATATTTATTTTCATATTTATATAATAGAATAAAATAGATTTAAATCTGCATGTTATTTCATATCACCCAACAACGTTTATCGATTCAATGAGTCTAAACTAAAATTGTGTAGAAGGAAGGTTGTTGAACATATCCATACTAACAACAGATAGGTTGGTTATATAATGGTAAGTTTTTCTTTCGAGGTTACGATCATAACATTTAATTTTTTTTGGAAAGTAATGCATTCTTGAATTTGCCACTTTTTTTTTTTATTTTCATTATTAAGATTAATGTGAAGGACAAACTTCCATTGCAAGATCGCCATCTTCACAAACCGTTTACTGCTGTATTCCGTTCATTGTCGTCGACTCTTGTTTTGAAGTTGAAAAAACAGCAGTTTTTTACCAGTATTACGACTTCTGTTTGTCTAAAGCAGTTATAGAAATTAAAGTAATCTGAAAGCAAAACTTTGCCTGGGGGAGTTGAAACCTTAGTTTCTTTATAATTTCAAAATTTATAAACGGAAATCTATAGTATCTATGGCAACCGTCATTTTACAATTTTAACAATTCAAAAGTCTTTTCAAAAGATTCCGGCTCATAACACGTCTATGTGTTTCACTATCAATTTACTCTTTGCAATTGTTCATGTATACTTGAAGAATATAGTTCCGAGTACAACAAGTGCAAGTTTGTGGAAACATAATTTATTTTTCTCTGAAAACGTGATGAGACTGGGAACAGCCGAGAAATGTCAACGGTGTGCGTTGTTTTACTTTCTCGCATTTATTTAATCCTAAAATGTTCTATTCTACGGTTCGGTTTGAATCATATGCAATTTCAATGACAAATCCAAAATACCTGTTAGCTGTTATAGTACAAAGTACTCCCCGTTCCAAATTTGACAGCGTGTAAGAAGTTGTCCAACTTTGTTAGAACAAAATTGACATAGCAAAAAGAAACATCTTGTTTCTTGAAGACAAAACATACTCTGAAAGAAAGAAAAAAACTCGGATTCTTAGAAAAAAACCTTTGAAACCGACGTTATCATAATGTTTATATTTTATCCTCTAGGAACAAACTGTGCTCTTCTTTTTACCGACCTTTTCCTTTATTTGTACTCCATAAAGGCTTCTCAAAAAGAATGAATAGAATTAAGCATGACATTTTCCTTAAACTCCGTATTTAGCTATAACGTGCATGAAGTTTTTTAACTAAGTAATTCAAAGTTTGGTAACTATGATTTTGTTGTTCGTTTTCAACACATATATCTTACAAAAGTATAACACAGATACAATTATGTATACTTTATACCTTTGCTATCGCCTAGAATGGTTGCAAAGTTTATTTTGTGGGAAAAAATGTGAATTTTATATTCTCATTGTTTACTTACCATTTTTATTTAGTAACATTCAAGAAGCACCTGCGTATGTACTATACACCTCTCATTCACCGAGGGTATCACCAGCCTAGTAGTCAGCACTTCTGTGTTGACATGAATTATCATTGATATAGTCATAATTATAAATCAACTGTTTTCAAAACTTTGATGTTTCGAAATACTAAGAATTTTCTAAATATCCATTGAGAAGATATAAATCAAGGTCACACACAACAACGGAGGGAACCGCATGAACTCCAAATGGAGCGATAACGAATGCGTCGACAGACTAAGCGTCTAAGGCTATGCACGCTTCACCCGCAATGCGAATTCATCTCATTCAAAATGTCACAATCAGGAATAGATAAATTCGGCAAATTTACAGATCAGACGACTTTTCTAGTATCTACAGATCTAAGACCGCTTTGACATACCACAAGTTAGTTGAGACATAGACATATCGTATCGATCAACTAAATCGTGTAGGTCACCTTAAAAATTGTGTGGTGTCGATTTTAGTCATCCTTCCTCTCATATGTAGCTGTTTTTGTGCCAGAAGCACACCCCTGCTGAAGAAATTTGTATTATGAACATGAACGAGCTTAACTTGAGATATTTCAACTCCTTGTTCTTGGAAATAAAGAACACCATACATACAGTTAAGTCTGCCTTATATCTTGATTTAAATATAGAAATTGACAATGAATCCTGGTGTCTATGATGAGTTTATTGATAAAGACAAAGGTATAGTTTCAGCTTTCCGGTTGTGAACTTTCCATCTCTATGTAGCAACATTGAAGCAGCGCCTGTATATGGAGTAAATATCTCTCAGTTGATACGAAATTATAGAACTTGGGTTGTCTATTATAATTTCCTTAATACCGAGTTACTGCTTATTAAACACCTACTGAACCAAGGGTTCCTGTGGTAAATATGAAGTCATCCCTACGAAACTTTTACGGATGCCATCATGATTTGGTTGAATGTTATGGAATATTTGTGCAATAGATGACCAAGGATATGTTCCAAATGTCGTAGCCACAATTCTGTCCTCTTTTCCACAATTGTGACTTTACTTAATAAGACTTATCATCGAACTTGTACTTACCATGATTTACACGAGATGTGATATGGAGCAGTCTCTGCAGATCATATACCTGTAGAGTACCTGCGATCACCCCGTTCTTTTGCTAGAATTCAGTCATTATATGGTGTTGTTTAGACTGTTGTTTGTCTTTTGGTCGTTTTTCATTTATTGCCATGGTATTGTTGGTTTCTCCTCGACTTGTGAATTCCCTCAATATTTTTCATCTCTTATGTCATTACTAAAGATTCATGTTCATTTTAGTCGACTTGGAAATCCCGGTATTTCTTTGCACCGAATGTAATCAAGAACTTTAGCTAAAAGTGTTTTAAACGAGGACATTACGCGATGAAAGCAGCACTGAAATATGAATGGACTAATGAATTTTGAATTCTATATTTAAAGGTTTTTTTTAACATTTAAATAAATTTGAAAACCTTACTATAATTCTTTTCTTGCACCAACAACTATGAACAAACATCGATAATAACTTAACATTGGTGTTGTGTCTGACAATGCAGTAGCAAATTAAAAATCATGGTTATTTGCTTAAGGTTTTTATTTGTATTTTCAAGAGTATCTATGACTTTCTCCCTTTAATATAGGATGTTTACTGACACAATATCTCTTTTCAGGAATTAATTGTGAATGGAATATTAGATCCGAGGAATATCCTTTTTCTCGTTCCATTCATTATGTTATTTTTGGAGATGGTAAATGGACTTTACCGACCATGGTCATCCAATGACAAGAAAACGTTATGGTGTCCTAATGAATGTTTCAGGAAAAATAATGAAAACGATATGAATTTCTGTTGCTCTTGTAAAGGAAAATCAGAATGGGAGCTTCCATTGATATTTCCAAGCATTTCCTATAGTGGACTGGCATTAGAATTGGAGGATTTGCAAGGAAAAGATTCCTTTTTACTTGACGTTCCTAAAAGAAATAGTCCAGATGCAAAGGAGATTACTTCAGGTTTTTTTTGGGTTACATATGTAGACGGAATTCTTCGTAGATATCCTAAAAATGCATGCGACTTTCAGTTAGTGGCAATTGACTTTACCGGCAATTTATTTTCTGAAATAGGAAATTTATCATGTTTTTCTACATTAGATACACTAGTTTTGAAGCGAAATAGAATTTCGTTCGTATCCAATCAAACTTTCCGGGGATTACCAAATTTAAGAAAAGTTGACCTATCGTACAATCAGATACCTAAAACAGATAATAATTTGCTTGGTGCAAACGACGTCTACATATCTGAGCTGGTTATGGAAGGTAATAACCTTTCGACAGTAGATTTATCCAATATTGTGTTTCCAAATAAAACAATATGTTACAATAGTTATGCAGGCAATAATGAGCCTCTGGATTTCACGAACGAAATGGATATGAGAATACACGAAAACATCTCAAATTCTTGTGGCAGCCTTGACATATCAAATGTGCCATCTATTGCTCAACATCCCTTGTCGACACTCAAAATGCTTGGCTTAGAGGAAACAAGCGCATTACAATTAAGACGTTATGTACCGTGTGGTTTTTACAAATTGACTGGAACGTCATTTAAGTGCGATTGTACTGTTTTTGACCTGATGAAGTTAAACGGATTTGATTTCCATCGTTTTTTTGCCAATGTACATGGACAGGTCTTTTGTACTGAACCAAATATATTAGCAAATAAGTCTTTCAATGAAATCGTAAGAAACGAGACATTGCTAGATCTTGTCATTTGTGAATTTTCAGATTCTTGTCATAGGAGACAAAACTGTGATTGTCGTTGTATCTCGCAGCCAAATAGGCGTAGATTACTAATAGATTGTTCCAATCAGTCATGCATCGACTTTCCGGACGTTATACCAGAATCGAGTTTTGACGTTGAAATGAATATGAGTAAGAATAAGATATCTACTTTGAAAACAAAAGATTACTTTTCTCGTGTTAAAATTTTGGATCTTTCTGAAAATCCGTTAACAGTTATAGATGAAAATGTAGACAGACTAAATCATGCATCTCATATTTTCATACCAAATCACTCTCTAAAGACATTACCCAGATCTGTGCAGTTTTTACATCCTGATATTTTTAGATTTGGCAAGAGTGGGATTCCGTGTAATTGTGATAACATTTGGATTGGAGACTGGAGAATATATAAGTCCGCTTCTAAGGAATTCCCTTTACTTTGCAACAATTTCAACAATATTTCATTTGAAGATGGGAGATTGGAGATAGGAAATTGTGAACCATATACTAGTAACTCCAAGCATTTCCTATTTCTATTGCTAATTTTCCCATTTTCTATATCCTTATTAGGTATCGTCTACTATTTTAGGTTCGAGTTAATTATATTAAAGCGTAAATACGATCGAAGGCGCAACAAGAGATGGGAACACGATGTTTACATTTCGTTTGATGAAAACAACAAGTTAGTGCTTCAATTTGTTATAAAACGTCTATATCCGTTTCTCAAAAAAAAACAATGTATCAGCTTATATTCCTTGTAAAGATGACTGTCCAGGGAAAATTGTAGATGAGAATATCACCAAAAATATTCAAAAGTGTAAAACCTTCGTACTTATTACTTCAAATGGAATGTACGAGGATAAACCTGGCATAACAGAGGCTAAAAAAATTGAATATCACTTGGCATGGAAATATTTCTCAAAAGGTGTCATAGATAAGATTTTTGCTGTAAAATTTGACGAACCCAAAAGGAAGGATTTTCAATATAGAAAAACTGAAGCAATTTATAGAGCAGGCATGGGTTTTAATATGTGGAATCGAAAAGTGTGCGTATATCAAGCAATATTAGAATTACTGCAAGAGCGTTAAAAAAATATATTCAATTATTTCCTTGTGGCCATTTAATGAAAACTAGATCAACCCGGTTTTGGTTGGGTTCCTGTTGCTTAGTCTTTAGTTTTCTTTGTTATGTTTTGTACACTGTTGTTTGTCTTTTGATTGTTTTTAGATGTTTGCCATGGCATTGTCAGTTTGTTAACTCTTATGAGTTTAAATATCTCTTTGGTATCTTTTGCATCTGTTTTAGTAAGAGATTTTAATCGCTTATATTGTACAGATATTTTATTTGTTTTCACAACTGTTTGATTATTAGTATTTACTTGTTGACTGTTTAAAACATGTTGTAACACTTGTATTCTTGGCCTAGTAAATGTTAGGATATCTACTGACGTACATTAAACATTTATTGCATTTTGCAATGAAAATTGTAGGTTATATTTTACTTTAAAATTTGTTGTACAAATATTAGTTCTATAATAAAATAGCAGTTTTAATATGTGTATATTTTTCTACATTGTCACAAATATCCAAAATTCATCTAGATGGCAACATATGCCTACAATATGTCTAGTTTTAAATCATCCCGAATCAAGCAACTTTCCGTATTTACCCCAAACGAGATATATAGGAAATTCTTAACCAAATTGACCAAAATTCTATCAGAGGTAAAGTCACATATTGTTTTCACAGTTTCAAATCTTTTATTTTTGTTCAGATACAAAAATCTGTACTTGAATCAAGAAATTGAAATATACAACTCCTTGCTTGAATCTAATATCTTTTTGAATATTCTTTCCCAAAACCAATAAAAAACGCTGAATAACTGGTTGATTTATGGGTATTTCATAATATTTTAAAAAATCTTTGAAATATGTCATTTAGCTGACTAGATATTCAAATGCCAAAAGCATGTGTTCTATCAAGAATTCTATTTCTATCAAACAGCACTTTTTTTCTGGCCAGAAAATTCACCATGGATTGCTGCACCTAGTCAACTTTGTTTAAATACTTGATTGTACATGTATATAACATATATATAAAATTGAACACAGAAGTCCATGTAATAATATGTTCAATCTTGAATGTGACTATCTTTAAATTAAATGTATAAACTAATGAGACGTACATTATCAAGTCTTTCTTCTGTCAAATTCAAAAATATTGAAAGACGACTAGTACCTGAGATTACTATAGTCTCAGCTAGTACTCACTTGTTAAAAGTATGCCGACAAAACGGATATACTGATGATGACCGCTGGGCTTCACAAATAAAATGCCATTACATACACTCTTAAAACACCAGCTTAATTGCAGTAGAACAAACATATCTTGTACATTAAAGGTTACGGAAAGGATGATTTACGATCAAATATCGGTCGCTGTAGGTTTCCTACAGCAACGCCACTAACAATTCTGAAATAAACATGATATTGCGCAAAGCAATGTTCTGAATGTCAATAATGAAAATAAATCAAACATTTTTGTCATAGTTTAAACTGTGATAAAACGTATAAATTTCAATACAAAAATACAAAAAGAAAGTGCAATGATTAAACAACAGCATTTTAACCATTATTAACGAAATAGAGACAAAACTCCATGGGCGCAAGCTATATGCTGAGTGACTTCTTGTTCCGTGTTGAATATCTTATTGAAAATTACAGATGAACAGTGTATGTCGTTGTTTCTTTGCATGTGTGTCATGAAATGTCCTTTCTTTCCATATCTACACTATATTGCACTACCGTGAGAGCTTAGTGAATATGGAGAAGCTCGTTATTCTATACCCCCTGCCCATCAACGGGGAGATGGAAGTAAAGTATCGAGCAGGAAAGTGTATGTGTTTTATTATTGACGGACATCCCAAGTACTAAGTGCTTTATTTTATAAGCTGAACTAGTAGCCAAACGGATGGTACTGTAATTATGTATTGCAGATAACCATCTTAGAACTTTAAAAAAAAATAAGATATTCGGAGCTCTATTGGACTTTTACTTTTAATTGGACATCAAAACATTATATTGGTGCAATTTGAGACATTAAAGAATATACCGAAGACCTCAAAATAATAAGCTTTCAATCCCCAATAACGTGCACATCAGGTTAAATATTCGAGGGATGATGAGAGGGAGATATTCTGACAAAAAGAACTACCGATAAAGCTAGAAACCACAATCAGAAAAATTACGTCATTCGTTTTTTTATGACGTGGAAAACGGGGATTATAAAATAAAACAAAAAAGTGGCGAAGAAGATGGGATGGCAGCGAACAAGCCAGATGCTTTTTATTAAGTACTTCAGTATATAGAAACATTTCTTTGATTGTCTTGCAAAGACTCATTTCAAAATAATGACACAACTGAAGAATGAAAATGTGACACTTCAGAAATAGCACTTCCTCATAGAGAGTACCCAATTATTACCAGACAGATAAACTATGTTCAAGATAATAACAAAAAAACTGGTACATGATATATTGACTATTTCATCGGAGTATGATTAGAATGCAGACCATATGTCAAAGCTTTACTTACCAGGTAAGGTAGGCAAAGGTTTGACACAGGATCTGAATTTTAATCAGATTGATATATTAGTATACCATTTAATAAGCTTGACATATGTCTGGTGTTACCATTTAACATGTTGATATATTGTTAAAATCCGCCAATATCTATTGAGAAAACTACAAAATTGAAAACTTCCTCTTCAAACTTCCTAACGTATGCTTCATTTCACATTTAGTTATCCAATTGCTAATAATAAGAAGTGCAATACAATGATTTTTTTTTTTAAATTCTGTTCGATCATATTTATTTTCATATTCATATAATAGAATAAAATATATTTAAATCTGCATGTTATTTCATAACATCCATCAACGTTTTTCGATTCAATGGGTCCAAACTAAAAGTGTGTTCAAGGAAGGTTGTTAAGCATCTCTAAAAGACCTTTATCACCGACGTCATCAAAATGTTTGACAATTTATCCTCTAGGAAAAAACTGTGCTTCTCTTTTTATCAACTTTTTTCTTTATTTGTACTTCATACAGGGTTTCTCAAGAAGAACGAATAGAATTAAGCTAGACATTTTCCTTACGCTCCGTTGTTAGCATTAACGGTGCACGATGTTCTTTAACTAAATAATTCAAAGTTTGGTAACAATGAATTTGTTGTTCGCTTTAATCACATCTATACTATTAAACGAGATGTTGTGTGTTGCTTCTCTGCCTTCCCCAATAAATTAATCATCATGCCTCTGTGTCCTATATGTACCATGCATAGTCGCATTTGTCATCCATTCTTATGATTATAGAGTTTGGGTTATTTTGGGAGAAAAACGAAGAAAAAGGTGTCCGGATATTGTTTCCGTCATCAGACCGACTTTTAAGTCATACCCAAGACTTCCGATTTTAAACTTTAAAAGAGGGGGTAACCTAAAGGGTTTTTTTCGAGCAACGTGTTTTTCCACTTTTTATTTCACGTGCAGCCGTGAAAAAGGTTCGTTATTCACCGTGTTTCTTGAAATCGATAAAAAGATCAACGTGCAAGAATTTTTTATTTGTTCGCTCATCGTGAAATGGCAATTTTATTTCGCGTTCTTTCGTGCAGATACCTCCCTTTACTCCCCTCTTTAAACATATTTTTCATAATTACTCGGGGACAGGACAATTATTTTCGAGTTATTCTGCATGTATACTATGATTATAATCCTATAATATATAGAGACTCTCTATATAATATAGCAGTGATCGCCGTGGATGGAATTGATAGTTAATAGCAAATACACTTTATTTATATTATATGTAGATCTATGTTCATAGTATACAGAAACGCGAAAATCATGCAATTTAACAGAGAGCAAAAAAATAACGGACTTTGGAAAAAAAGGGAGAGGGCTTAAAATAATTGTCCTGTCTCCAAGTGCATATGACTCAGTTTGATACCTTTTCTGAATTTCTCCAGACATAAAATCTTTTACAAAAATTCACCCTATAACAGTTTACATACTTTCAACCAAGCTCTAAATACCCGCGATATCGCGGGTGTGTTCTAGTAGTACTTAAAAAAATAACACAGATACAATTATATAATGCTTTATACCTTTGCTACCAACTAGAATCGGTTGTAAAGTCAAATGTTTATTCTCATTGTTTACTTGCAATTTTTTTATTTTTGAACATTCAAGTAGCACCTGCGTAAGAACTATACACCTCTCATTCCCCGAGGGTATCTCCAGCCTAGTAGTCAGCACATTGTGTTGACATGAGTTATTATTGATTTATATATCCCGCATTCGGGCATTTTGTTGTTACTTTCATATACGTGTGGGTCCGGTGGGTCATTTTGTGCTGAATTGTTGTCTGTTAATTTCGTTTGTGGTTTTAGTTATGTATTTTCGGTACATTTCACATATGTCTCATTCGTCAGTATAGTCGGGTTACTCGTGGTTCGTCTACAGGGTTTTTAATTATGTTGTTTGTTTTCATGGGTGTTTACTGTTTGGTCTTACATAATCTTGCCTTATATTACAGTTATTTTATTTTTATTTTTCTATATGTATGTAAAAGTTAAGATAAAAAATCAACTATTTCATATGTATGATTTTAAGTTTAAAGCAACTATATGAACAGGACTTTTTTGTAAATACATAGTTTTGATTTAGAAGAAAAACCGACATGGTAAGACATTACAAATAATAACACCATTACAAACACAATTCATTTTAATATTCTTGTCATGGTTAGAAAATACATAAAATAGCATCATTACAAAATCAATCCAATTTAATATTCTTGAACGTGTCTATAAATAAAACAAATCTATGTTATTTTTAGAAATTTACCTGTGATGATATAATCGTCACAAAAAAATACGTCAATTTTTGTGACGTTGATCCATTCAAGTGACGCGCAGTTTATATTTCACTTGTGGTGTCCTGGTGTGCTGTCGTAAATTCATGGGAGGGGAGGTGTCCGTAGTTATTCGGCGCTTTACATGTTGTAATGTACTATTATTTTATTTATTTATGTATCTCTCTGTCCTGAGTGTTCTAGCGTTTGTTTGTACTGTATTCCTGTGACGTGGTATTGTCATTTTAGCATTGTCATATAAGCGGGAGGTTTGACTATCCATTAAACAAGGTTCACCCCACCATTTTTTGTTAAAATGTCCTGTACCAAGTCAGGAATATGGCAGATGTTATCTACAGTCCCTTTCTATGTATG